ACCCAGAGAGGCCAAACACAACCCAGAGCTGCCAACACGCATGAAAGCACCATGGTGGTGCGTGCCGTCTGCAGGTACGCGGGCAGCGCCAGCACTGAGTATTTAAGCGTACAGCTGAACATGCCAGTGCTGTACCAGGTGCAGTCCATCCACAGACCCTGCATCTGCGAAATGGCTGTGATGATGTTCGAACCAACATCCGCGCTCACCTTCCAGTTGGGGAGTAACGTGGCCACCGTGGCACCGAGGATGCCTAGCAATGCCAGCACGAAGGCGAAGATCTGCGTGCCTGTGGACGCCATCCTGCCGCGCTCCTGAACCCGGCCAACATCCACACAGGCTTTGCTCAGTCCCTTCTCAGTCGACAGAGACTCCTCAGCACCACCGCCTGCCTGAGGAAGCAAGTGAGAGAATTAAACCAGTGTCCTCCTCCTCCCCCAGCGCACTGGGAACAAAGAGAAGCGTGAACACAGGATGAGGAAGCAGGTTCCTTACTGTGATTTTAGTGCTTTCCTGTTCATGCCTCACGCACATATCTAGACTGGAGAGCTGAGTTATTAGCAGGGGGGGCAGTACATGCACGCATTGATGCGATATTTGATCACTGGAGTCTGATTCAGTTTTCCATACGGTCAGGTAAATTAAATAAAGTATCGTTTCAGACATACGAGCGCACGACACAAATTTCGTGTTACTAAGGCAATAACAGAAATGTTTTAGGTTATGACTCATAGCGGTTTAACACGGAGCGGAATGCAGAAATCCTGTACTTACCTCGGCTGGTGCAGAGCGAGCTATGACGCGTCAGGTTTCCGAGCATAAACACACACACACACACACAAACTGCTAAATATGTAAACCGAGTATAAACGCCCTTAGATGTGTCGTTAGCGATTGGTTCATGGTATCTGTGTCTCCAGCAGCAGCGGACATTAGTGATGGAGAGACGAGGCTGTTATCAAAGCTGCTAGGAAGAATGATGCTCTACGTCACGCAGCAGCGCGAGCTCTTAACTTCCCGCGCATGAAAGTCTGTTATTTGCTCCCTTAGCGATTTAAACCCTCGCTTTTAGTACGCTTTTTATTCTATTTAACGTTAATATTCAACGCTCTAACTCTAAATTTTTCTATGAGGAAAAAATGGGATAACTCAATAGCTTGGTTTGTTCATATTTTAATAGTGTTCCGGCATGTATATTAAATGTTTTGGATATTGAGTAGATTAATTCTCATTGACAAATATGGAAAGACCTTAAATATATTGAAAACGTCCTGAAATTATTACATTTAACGTTACTAGATAACCAAACTGGCTTAAGATATGTAGGTCTAACGTTATCTTGAATATCCCGGTGAATCTTTTGATGTAACGTTACAGATATTTTTTTCTTTTCTTCTTGTGTTCAGTGCATAACAAATCATTGTTATTTTTAACAACCTTTTATCATGCTGTTACTAGATGTGGCCTTTTATCAAAATATATGCGGTTTAATTTTTTTTACTGAATGTTAAAATGTCTAGAATTCTAACAAGCTGTGAAGAAAAAAGAGATATGTTTTGGTATTGTCTACCAACACTCATGTCCTTTTTTTCTTTTTTTCACAAACCATTACCCACTTTGGCACCTACCAAATTATGTATAATGTTAAATGTCCCTTTCACCTGCTAAGGAGTTTTACTATAGCGGCAATGCACCACTATCACCCTAATCATAATTTGACTTGGCAATGAGCAGCAACATTCACTCTGCAGGAAGAATGAACTCACAGCTGCTGCCCCTCCAAACCACTACACCCCCACCCTTATAAACCCCTACACCCCTGCACCCCCACCCTTATAAACCCCTCCGTCCTCCATCCGTCCTCTCCGCGCTGCAGGGTGGGAGTGGCTATATGCCATTCGTTTAGAAATGATAAAAGGACGAAACCAATGTCATCTATTTATCTATCTATCTATCTCTCTATCTATCTATCCTGTTTTTTTTTTTTTTTGTAAACAAGATCTGTAAACTCTTATCAGGTTTAAAAATCAGGATTTCTACACCGGTGAAGCTGAAGTTGTAGCATACTCGTATATTTGGAAGTATTGACATGCATTTGGGCTTTAGTGGAGGTTTATGTCCTCACATTGGAGGACATGCATTAAGTGCTGATGCTTGGATTGTGCTGATAAGTAAATAAATAATGTGTAAGGGGTGATGTTAACATGTACTGTATCCAGGGAATATAGATGTGTTGGGAGCTGACGTGTTAAGGCACAGAAAGCTATTACATGCGTGTTACCTTGAGTTTATCACCTCTAGGTTTCATGTGCAGAAGCTTGAGTGCACATTGAAACTGTCATTTCTTCAGGGAAGGGGTGTGCCCCCCCCTCCCCCTCCCCCTCCCCTATTTGTGTGCTTTTTCATAATTTAGAATGAGATTCATTTGTTTATTCACAATTGCTGTTGGAGTCATTTCATTACCCTGCTGTAGCGGTTTGCCTGTAACGCAGATGTCAAAATGGTCTTATTGCGACTGCTACAGAAATGGCTGTTTAAATTCATGATAATAAATGGGAATTACTCTCTGCTGTCCAAGAGGGGAGTGCACGGGTTTCCACACTACCTTGATTTATTGCCTGTGTGCTTGTTCTTATGAATTTACTGTTCAATCAAAATGCTTTTGGGTGCCCGAAAACACAAAGTTTGGAAAACGATTTTCAAGTTACAAGTTTAATTGTAAACAACAAAAACACGAAGACGATGACGTCATGCACATGCGTATTACGTGTTCAGTCTATAGCGTTTCATCACCTTCTAATGGCCTGGCATTAGAATGCAGCGATTTTAGTTATTTCACTGATCCATGTGAATTGGGATCGTTTTGACAATGGTGTCGTCTGTATGAGGGAAACTCAAAGGATAAACTTCTCAGTTTTCAGCATGCCGTTGTCGTGCTTTTCTGGCATTCTTAAAGTTTTGAAATATTCACTGTGTGTTCGACCCTCTTACCATGCTTACTCTCACTGTCCATCTTGCCTTGTCTTCAGCCAGACACCTTAAAAGCCTGTAGTCTCATAGGCTGGATAGAGACTCCATGAGAATCCTTTCACATCTGAGAAGCACATCAGTAGTGCCTTTGGTTCCCTTCGATGCCTTGGGCGATTCACGAAGCGTGGGACGAACAACCTTACAGTAAAAACAAGCCTCTCTAGCGAAAGCCTGTCAGCCTCCACCGTTACATCCTCTCTTTCTGCTGCTTCATCTGAGCCGAAGTAAGAGTGGTTGTCTTTTGAAAGTGCTGTCATGATTAATGTATCCATACTCATTGCAGGACTATTTTCTCCTTCCCCTCACTGTATGCATTCCCAGCTGCGGACTCCATTGTTCTCTGGCAGTTATGTAAAGGAAATAATGGTTACTCAGATTGCCCCGAGGGACTGCCACCTCGATTTGATCATTCTTCATTCCAAACGACAAATTAAACTTCACACCCTTTGCAGTAATGTAGCACTTCTGCTCAGGTGCAAGTAGTGGTACGTTTTACTTACTACTCTCATTAACAACCTCCACACATTGCATGTAATGTTTTTCTCTTGTAAGATCACACTCAAAGACAGGAGTGTTGTCTGAGAGAGAATCATGGAACTGGGCCATGATACTGACTAACCACAAACAATGTATTTTCAGTGGTCAGTTGCATGGAATTGGTTTAAGGTGACGGTTTCTCATAAGTCTATTTTATCAGAAGAGAATTATTAGTTGGTAAAGGTCAAGTCAAGTCACATTTATTTATATAGTGCTTTTTACAATACAGATTGTTTCAAAGCAACTTTACAGTAATAACAGGAAAATAATGCAAAAAAAGTTTGTTTACAGAATAAAAAAAGCGTCACAGTCAAGTTCAGGGATGTTTTATTTTTGTTTTGAAGTATTCCAGCTCAGTTCAGTTCTCGTATAATATTGTCAATGCAGGCAGTATTATTGTGGAATATTGAATTAAATGTAAGGGTCCTTAAATAACTTTATTTGGTTGCTGCTAAATCCTGTTTCTTTGGGAATTGTTAGGGACTTGAATGTACCTGGTCAAAATTTCAGACCTCTGAGAAAAAAAGGGCTTGAGTGTTTGAGTTTAAAACCAGCATCTCAGGTGGGGTAAATGACAGTGGGCCAAATTGATTTTCTGAATGTGTTCTCCTCCTGCACAGCTGAGGCAGATGAGTCAATGGTTTCTGAAAGCTCTTGTCACATCTTCACTTCTCATCTCTTCAGTCTATTGCTTTTTTGTAGCCTTAAACCCCAGAAAGGAGCTTCAACGCTTTTTATCCTGCTCGTATTTAAAGTCCAAGAGTATAATCTAACCGAAGTCAAGAGTCCTGCTTGATTGCAGCTCAACCAGGTGTTTATGGTTATGTTAAACTACAGTGAGCCGGAAATGCAGTACAAATCAGTTTGTGTTTTCTTTCGTGTCCATTATAGGGACATTCCCGTACATTTTTATAGAAGACTGAATCATGCACTGCTACAGGTTTGTAACTGGTTCGGGAGAGACCAAAATGATGTTTTCATAACACAATTACGCGAGAGAAACAGATTTTAGTCTGGGCACCGCAGACGTCTGCCGGGTTTGCATAATGAAAAGAATCCCCGTCCCTTGTGGTGATCGGTGAACCAGGGCAGAGCAAAGCTGAGCATCCCCCTACAGCAGCATAAGAACATTTAGGAAGCAACAGTGTAAATAGAGACTTACTATTCACATTTGAAGAGGCGTGTTTTGATGGTCCTTTAAACAGGTGTTACTGTAGCAACCGTAACTGGCCTGTCGTCGTGCAGCATCACCGACCGCTTCCTCTCCAAACCCTCTGCTTTTCTTCATGCGTATATTCCTTTTTCTGGCTAGTTTACATTCCGTTTCACACCTTCACTCGAGTGGCAGTAGCTCCAGAATATGGTCTCCATGTCTGAATCTAACAGTGTGTGTGTGTGTGTGTGTCTGTGTCATCACCCCGCGGTGTGCGTAGGTGGATGTGGGGGTGGTGCACTTCACTCCGCTGGCTCAGCCCCAGATCCAGCAGCCCTTCAAGCTGGTCGAGAAGATTGTCAAGAACGCCTTCCAGTTCCGGAGGAAGCACTGTCGCACAGGACTCCAGTAAGCATTTTCCCAGGCTTTCTTTCAACTACTTTTCAAAACTACTCTCTTTGCTCCTATTCTCAATGTGTTTAATCTGGCTACCTTAATCAGGGTAGACTCCTTATTTAGAGGTGAATGAAACAAGGTTGTAAGAGATTGAAGTAAGTCTGCGCAATTTCTTGTACTGTTGTGTACCTCGGTGCATCCAGCAAAACATGGTATATGTCAGGAGTGACCTGAACCTGTAGCTAATTAAGGTGTTTAATAGAAACAGCCAGGATCACTACATACTTCCAGGCTGGTGTGCAGTGCGTTCAAGCTAGATTCTGCTGGAAACTGGTTCTCCAGGACCAGCATTGGACTCTCATAACTTGAGTGGACAAGGAACTTGTGAAAACAAAGGTTGTGAAAAAAAAAAAAAAGACTTGAACTACAACCTTTTAGACAGTCCTAGAGTGTTCACACATGTAGTTCGGTTCGCTTGGCTTGTCTGGTCCGGACCAATATTTTTTTTAGCATTCCTTTTAGTGTTCACATTAGCATTTTAACACCAAACCTAAAGATACTGAACCTAAAGGCATGGGGATACATTCACAACCTGAATGGTAGGCTTTTATTACATATATTTCTCAATGGAAATTACTGAACATCCAAAACAATGCTGTGTTTGGGGCTAAATGTGCTTAGCCTTCATATGATGCTATTTTGACCAGCTGAGAACTCCTGAAGAGCTTATAAAATGTGTAAGGAGTGTATCTCAGCGATCGCACCAGAGTTCGTTTGGAAGTGGACCAAGACTCATCAAAAAGGGTAATGCTTTACTTTAAGCCTTTATGTATAATGAATTATAAAACTATTATTAATTCATTATGCCTTGTTATGCATTGTATGGTCTCATGAATTATTGTAACCACAGTTAATTCATTATGCATTGAACACCTTTGGAGCATAATCCTTTAAAACATGTCAACCAATCAGATTTAACTAGGAATCTGCAAGTATTGTAATGCACACCAGCCTGGAACTTAGGTTACAATTATTTATGATACGATATAATGCATTAGCCTATAATGTGCATTATAAATACATTCATAATGCATTATACATAAAGGCTTTAAAGGGATACTCCACTTTTTTTGGAAATAGGCTCATTTTACAACTCCCCCAGAGTTAAACTGTTGAGTTTCACCGTTTTCAAATGCATTCAGCTGATTTTCTGATATTTAGAAGAATATCAGTAACCTTCCTTTTTGGTCTCATTATTGACTTCCATAGTTGGAAAAAAAATATACTAAGGAAGTCAATGAGACCAGAAACTGTCTGGTTACTGATACTCTTCTAAATATCAGAAAATCAGCTGAATGCATTTGAAAATGGTAAAACTCAACCGTTTAACTCTGGAGGAGTTGTAAAATGAGCCTATTTCCGGAAAAAGTGGAGTATCCCTTTAAGTAAAGTGTTACAAAAATAAGGATCGGAAGTAACTCAGCAATTATCTATCATTGGAGTGAGGATTGTGAGGGCCATTTGGGCAGATTTCTGGCTTCCCTGCTTCTTTTTATGTTACCTCATGTGAACCTCAGATGCTATCAGTCTCCTTCAGTTGTGTGTCTGCATCTGGTCAGCTACTAGTTGCCATGTCTTTTCTTCCTAGCAGTGAATCACATTAATGAATGTATAAAATAGTTTCAATGTGCTCATGTGAATAGCTTTTATATACAGTATTTTTGTTGTGTTTGTTTTGTGTTTGTTCTAAAAATAGTCATGACTGTTTTTCCTCACTGGAATTCTTCCTAACTTGCAACATTCCAAAACAACATTCGGACGCAATAAATACATTAAGGCAATCTGTAATACAAGCAGATGTATAAACCACAGGCGTCACGGCGCTCGGCAAACAAGAAAAGCAAAGCGAACATCCTCACAGACCACATAACGTCACTTCCATGCAACTTTTCAAGTTTTCTACATTAACTCATTGTGTCAGCGTGTGATGAGTGTTTTCTTCTTTCCTGCAGGATGCTGTTCCCCGAGTCTCAGCGTCTGGATCTGACAGAAGAGTTGCTGCGCAGTGCTGATGTGGATCCCACACTGCGACCCACTGAGATCTCCATTTCTGAATTCAGGGCTTTAGCAGACGCCTACTGCCGGCTTTGTAAGGAGAATCAAGGCCTCATCGACTATGAATTCAGAGAGGAGCTGAGACTCAAGCATCAGGAAAAGAGACAGTCGGGCAGCAACCGTAAAGGGCTTCACCTTCACACCACAATAGAGGAAAATGTTACTGGGAACCGCTAACTCAGGAAACAGCAGACTCTCAATGTGACATTTTCAGCAGCTGGCATGAATTGCATTTTTTTTGGTTCTTGAATGGAGTATGCAGACTAGTACTAGTAGAGTAGCCAGCAGCACTGAGGTGAATGTGGCTAAATCAGCTAAAGTTTTTCAACAAAACAAAAAAAAGTGCATTGGTTTTGACACTCTTTAAGGTTTTGGTGAAAACGCGGTGGAGCTTAACATAACGTTATAGTAGAAATTGAAAAACATTGTGGGCAAGAGTATAAGAACCAAATCAAACTCGATGGTCCTTATTTATAAAACATGTATGCACAGATTTGATATTAGAGAGTGCATACATTAAAATCCACGCCAACATTCATATTTATAAAAACAGTATTTGACGTTTCAACACATTTTATAAATGAGGCTTCTAGTCTCAGACTCTGTATTGATCAGAGGAAGAGACGGGGTTGCCCAGAAAACAGCTATAGGAATGCTTTAATCATTGTTACATTTGCCTAAAAATGATTTGACATATTCTTTGGGATACATGTGTGCTAGTAAGGTTTATGTTTTTGTATTAACTAAGACCTTACTCCTATTAATAAGGCTGTTGTGTGTTTGTTTATCAAACAGCAAAAATAAAGTTTGTGCAGGTTACAGGATGTCATTAGGACAAAAATAACAATCAGACACCCTTTATTATAGGTTTTGACTGTGAAGTGTCAAACGTATATAAACTCTTCAAATTAAGTCACAGTAATCCATGAAAAAACAATATTTACACATTTGTACATTCTAGAAAAAGTACAACTGCAGGCTTTATTTTCGAGGAACATTTCCATCATAGCACATTTAAATGCCTGATTGAATGTTTACAGCTGACCACTTTGTTAAAACAAAGGAGAAATTATCGTTAAACCATCAATCTCCTGACAGATTCTTAAACCAACCTTTTAGATCCCTATTAAAATTAATTTTATATTTATAAAAACTTGCTAATAAATAAAACAATTTTATACAAAGCAAATCCATGATAAAATCCAATGCTTGTATTTAAAGCAAGAAATGTATGTATGTATAGCCCAAAACACAAGGCAAAATCAAAAACGAAAACCTGACAGAATTCGGTTCTGTAGTTGGATAGCTCTTAATATGTGTGTGGGGGAAAACACACATGCCTTTGCCCTTCTGATACACCATAACCAAGACCAGTAATTTGGTTCTCTGGTGCAAAGGAGTTCAGTACATTAGTGCTATGAATCATGGAAAATTACTCGATGCTTAATGCCATTTTTCATAAAGGTCTGTCAAACTGTGGCTCCACAATAGAAAAAGACTCTGAATTGACTGGCCTTCAGGTGCTTCCCTAAATTGTCTGATAACTTTGGAAAGGCATGGGCTTTTTGGGCATTGTGGCTCCACATCAGATCAAGGTGTTGAACACGTGCTAATCTTTGTTCTACGAAGCTGTTGCGTTCTTTGCCTCTGCGGTGTTGTCATAGAAGAAATCCTCGTTGACCACAGAGGTCAGGCTCTGCACGCTGAACTCCTTCTCCAGCAGTGAGTTAAGATCCACACTATTCGCCATCAGCTCGGCCTGGCTGTCCAACGATTGGCTGTGTCGACGCATGTTCACTAGGTCCGCCTGGCTGCGTCTAAGGCTACCCGTGCCTCTGCCAGACTTACGCTTGACCGCGCCAAAGTGAGCTTGCTTTATAGAAGACCGTCTTTCAGGAGAGTCCACTTCTGCGCTCTCCGGCTGCACACGGGGCGCAGGAGTCTGGGAGTCCTCGGCCACCCGAAGCCTGCAGAACTGGGCCTCGATGGCACTGGGGTCGAGCCACTCCTGCTGGTCGACGTTCTCGTGGTCCTCATCACTGATGATGCTGCTGGATTCCTTGAGGTCGCTCTGCGGATCCAGAGGAGCGCTGGCACTGCTGGTGTTTCCACTGCTCACACTGGCGGAATCTGAATCTGCTAGAGACGGCCTCAATGGATCATTGTTGGGGTTGGGACTGTCATTTATAGGCAGTTTAGAGAGCCAAAATCCTCGAGAAGAACCTGTGGTGCACACACAAACACAATTGTGGATCTTAGAGGTAGAATACATGTTTATAAATATCAAAGGTCAAATATGGTCAATACATCACACTTTGACATTTCAGAGCAGAGGTTTTCCATTCTTGTCCAGGATACCAACCACATTTTGTATGTCTCTCTTATCCGACACAGTTTCAGCTCATTAGGTGAGAGCTCCATGAATTGAACTTGTGCTGCGTCCCAGTTCGCATAATATCCATCCTAAATAGCATTTGAAATTATAATTAGTGTCCCAAAGCATAGTATGTGTGTAAGTGTGAGCGGACGTTTAGATAAAGGGGTTTGAGTGATTCATAATCCGTATCTAACTTGACAAAAATATATTTATTCAATGTGATCCACATTACGTTATAATTAACCTGCAACAGCATTGAGAACTTTTATAGTGATATTTTTGGTCTTTAACTTTTAATTGCATCAATATGCAAATTGCAAAATACTCGAAGAGAGTTCTACGCATGAAAAACCCACGGCTGGCAGATCAATGTGTTACAGCACTTCTCTCCGATATAGAAAGAGATTAAATTAAATCGATTTAATTGTGGCAAGATGATTGACAGCTATAGGCATCCTGTCAGCGTTTTAACTGCCCTCTAACAGAGTTATCTGTTAAAGACACAATTATGATGCATGTCCCAAAGCTTGCTTATGTGTTTCTGCTACACATTCAAAAATATGTACTTCTTCACAAAAACAGTACATGCTTTTAAAGGCATAGTAAATTGAGACACAGCATGAGTGTGTCAGAAAAGAGAGACATACAAAATGTTCAGAGCGGTGGGTCTCCAGGACCAGGACTGAAAACCACTGCTTTAAAGTGAATTGACCCTACGACAGCCCAAATTGCCACACAGTTGCTGTCCATCGAATATATGTTTCCTTTCAATACTACAGTAGTTATCCAGAATGGCGACTTAGTGAAGTTTTGTTCATTCTGTTCCCGAAATTAGGCAGTAATCTCGAAAAATGCAAGCGTTTGATCAGACAATTTAGAGATTTTTTTCTCCATCAAATTAAAGTGTGTGTGTTTAGGCCATCATGTATGTGGATTATTTGGTTTTATTTAAAAATAAAATAAAATAAACAGGAGCATGCTGAATGGACTCTGGTGTGAAGCTTTGGTTTCAACATCGGGTTGTTCTGACAGTTATAAAGTAGTATGATATTTAAGTATCAATGATATGACATGGAGCTGTGACAAAGTCAACTTTATTTTAAGAAAAATGTACAAAAACACGAAATTTATCCTTGTTTGCATCTCCAGTACTCATTTTTCTGTGTTAATGAGACTTGAATTTCTCCATTTTCTCGTCTTCTACCATATTTTTGTTTGTTTTTCAACATAACATGATACAAAAGCTGGTCCTTTCTAATTTATGATAAACTATCATGTACAATATCGAACAAGCCAAATTGCAACATCCTTTTGTTTGACAGACAGCATTGCGACCCATAAAAGTTAACCACTTTAGTTAAGTTAACCGCTATGACCATGGTTATGTATTTTAATAAGTTCAAAGTCAGCTTGTGATGTAGTCATTTTTTACCAACGGTCAACAGACTTTGAAGTCTTGCCTCAAGATTATAGCGATGGATCTGTAATGTGCAGCTTTAACACTTCCACATCATCAGACATGTGAGTAAAGGGGAGGTCACACTGACCTAGCTTAGCAGAAGCTGGCAACGTTTTCCGAAGGGGGGTGAGCCTCTTTTTGCAGACTCTCTCAGAATGCTGCTCGACTCTTTGCATGTTTCGACGCAAGTTCTCCCGCAGGATGGAACGCATCACCCTGATGATGATGACTTTGCACTCTGGAGTGCTGCAAGTGAGAGAAAAATGTCAAATGTTAAGCTCTGTATGGAATAAGCTAAGTTTATAAATGAGCAAGTAGATCATTCTTACCTGCTACACAGCTGGAACACCGTCTCCGGCCTGCCCTCTCTCTGGGATTTGGTGTGGATCAGCTCCCAGACGCAGTCTGTGTCTTCAGACCGAATTAAAATGCAAGGTTTGTTATTTGTACATTTAAAAATAACTGTTAATTATTACTGTCTCTTTGAGCTCAAACAAGCCAGACGTGTCTGTTACCTGCAGTATTGCCCAGTCTGACCTGTAGTGCTGACAGGGGGATGAGCCAACGAAACTTGAATGGATCCTGATCTCCATGGGCGGATCTTGAAGTTGGCTGGCAAACAAAGGATGCATATGAAATTAAAGGAATGTATATTTGTTTAAAAAAAAAACTGCACTATACGAATGTATAAAGTCCACAACTCCAAATCAGCAAACACCATTTATAAAAAAGCAATCTGCAAAACCATTTTGTTCCAAAATCTGTATTTTATATATGTCAAAAGGACTGCTCATATTTATTATTTAGTATTGTTTTCTAAACTTGTCACAGTATAATGCATGAAAAACAAATGACAAATTGACGGGACATTAAGGAGCTGCGAGTGTAATTAGACGAGGTGAAAACAAGACTCACCATCTTCTTTCTCACTTTGTTGTTCTCCCTGTACAGCAGTATCACAGCTCTCTTAAAAACTAAAGATAAGATAAATCAGATAAATCAGAAGATAGATCAGAGTCAAGCGGATATGTTAATTTTAGAAAACGACAGAATCTTTGTCTTTGAGGCTACAGACCGTCTGCCAAAACAAGCCCAACATACTTTCACAAGGATATAAAAAGCTTCAAGACGAGTGTTGTATGGCACAAGAACTATCCCATATATTATGCCTCAGAATATTTAAGAAGTAGATTTATGCATTTGTTGTAAAACTACTAACATATTAAGTTATAAAACGTTTATTTTGGCACAACTAAGAATGTAATGGTTTCGTGGGAAAATAGCAAAGCCTCACCAAAAACAGTCAGCTCAGGGTCCTTTTTCATACGGCCCAGTGATGGGAACGGGTTGAGCCAAATCACAGAGGAATGCATGAGGAACTGTCCCATAGAAATCTCTGTGACCTGGGAGAAAAAGAGGAAGATAACTGAAGATAAGTCAAGTCAAGTCAGGGTATTACCTTCAAATAAATCAGGGTATTATATATATGCCCTGGTCACTATATATGCGTCTGTACCTCTTTCTCAGCGCCACTTTGCTCTGATACCAGCTGGTCAAATACTGCACCATAGTCTTCGTAGATCTTCTGCATCTCATTTATGTGGCTTGCAACTTTCTCCATTTCCTTAAGTGCCTCTGTAATAATAATAATAATAATAAACTGTCTTAAGATACATTCATACTGGGCTTTGATTCCAGAAAACTGAGTTTGCACCAAAATGTTCACTGCAGTTTTAGGTAGATGCTCAACTCATGATACAATAGTATTGTGATACTCCAAAACATATGGAAAAGAGTTGAACTGTTGAATAAAATGCAACATTTGATTTTACATTGTGTGTGTAAGTGAATAGGCTCGGACTTTGAACCCAATGCACAGGACAATAATGACACCAGAATAAAAATATTGATTCAGCAGCTGAAATTACAGAATTAGTTTAGACGAATATGTTTGCACACTGACACTGACTAGACATATTTAAAATAATGTAGGCCACTTTTTACTGGAAACATCAGACATTTGGCATTATCAGGACCCACAAATATTCCACAATTGCATTATTATACATTATATTCATCATT